CTTAGGCTCTTCTTTTGTCCCGGTTGACGAATAGATTAATTGATTTCCATCTTGAATTCTATTGGACGATAATCTTAGGTACCAGTTTCTGTTTCTGCCGGTTGTAATTATCATCTTAAACTTAAGATATATCACCACCCCATACCTCACATTAATTATCTTATCTTGATATATTGTATTACAAGGTTATATACACTCTATCTACTATTTAATCAAAACTATAAATGTAGGCAAAATGCAAAACATCGATAAATTCTAACTAATAGATTGATTAGGTTTCATTCAAGACGCATTTTGGATGATTATTGTATCGGTAGTTGGTCCGAACTAGTTAATATTTGATGAACTCTTTCTCCTAGTACGGTTATTGATTTTTTTTTTTTTTTTTGTAAGTGAGAAATTTTAAGTTCGGATCTTACAAATAACGAATTCAATACCAATAGCGGTAATGTGACTATATTGTTATATCACAAAAAATTCCTATCATTGAGGTTTAATAATAAAACAAACATGAGAACTTTATGACTAGCAATTTTGGATGGTTCAACACCGTTGGATGTCAAATGAAGCAGCATTCCAGCATTTGACTGATCATGCGCATATTCTTTCATTGGCGGCTTAATGTTGCCACTTAAGACCAGCAATTTAGATTGACCTAATTCTTAATTAAGATGGTATGATGGTCAGATAAGACATATACGACACAATTATACTACTACAATGACATCTCATGTTAATAATATATTGATTTTTTTCACGTTGGCGTTTTTTCATTAACAAAAATCAACACAGTGATGTATCCCTACTGTATAAGTTACTCATCACATGCTTCAACAAAACAATGGTGGAAGTAGGGCAATTGCTCCAAAAGCCTCCGAGGCATATATATACTCATCATTGGCTATAGATTGAGCGAATGAAGGTTAAGATGGTCAAATCATATACCATAATATTTGGTCAAGTTCAATGGAGGGTTTCAACTATTTGGCCTAAGCGTATTACAATTGCATAAAACACAAAGGGGTTGTTTTCCATAATAATTACGAGACGTAATGTATATTGCATGGTCTGCCCCCAAAGTTGCTTCCTTGTACGCTTGGCCGAACTCCTTGACCCTTTCGCACGGACATGCAAATTATATATATGATGTCATGTTTACTGGTTTCTTTGTCAATTAAGTGGAATTCAACAAGGCAAAATCAAACCTTTATCTAGTCAAATTATAAAAACCACAAAGTTAGGAGTTAATAATTAAGCATGTGAACAGGTTGTAGCTAGCTAGGTCTTGGTCAATTCGGAAGATTAATTTTCCTTAATCAACAAATCCGCTGAATGAGCATACTATACAGACCTAACATGTAAATAACTGCTCTCGTAAGTGTGCAAGCGACGCGTAGGTTTAGCACCACCGAACGCCTTGCGATGTGACTCTAACGGAGACATTGAGTGAGAAGAACGAGCACCTTCCCCACTAGGCCGCAACATTTGGCGACTAGTGCTTGAAATGATTGCTTGAAAGAAACCAGTTGATGCCAGAATAATACAATATCGCAGGGAAACCGACCATATAATGGTTGAAATACTTGCATGCTTTCGTCGTGTAAATTATTTCATATACTTCAAGCTCTGTAGTGCGTCACCTTCTAATTTGACCTCCGACCTTATACACACACACACACACACATATACATATACATATATAGCTAGCTGCATGAGCTACATGCATGATGGTTATGTTTGAAGAATAGATGAGTCTTAACTTTATCAGGCTTTCCACATGCAAACGTTTTCTAGTCAATTATTACAATTATTTTCATATATGGACGGACCATAAAGTAGGGGTGTGCTATTCACACACCTCTTTTTACTTCTCACACACTTCTTGTTAATTTCAGTCCGTTGCTCTTCTTCAATTCATCCGATCCGACGGCCGAAAATCAAAAAAGTGTGAGAGAAGTAAAAAGGGGTGTGTGGACTCTTCAGTTATCTTCGTAGAGTAACTAATATACTTAATTATGGACCAAAACTTTGATGATATTATCAATAAATTAACGTACATATGTTACACGATGAGTAGATTATGTCCCTTAGATTGATTGCTTTGTTTTCTATTAAAATTATAATACAATAAGCCGGACGGATGTGGGATATGGAAAGTAATGGTCTCTATTGAGAGTATGAATCTCACATCACAAAGTGATGACTAACGATATTTTCTACGCCTCCTTGTAGTGTGGGATACAATAAATGTTTTAATTGTTAGATCTTCGTTTAAATTAAAATATAGCAATTCTAAAGTCTGAAGTATCATATATTCCTGAGGACCATATAATTTTTTGTGACTAGCTATAAGCCTATATCACACAAAAAAAAAAATTATAGATTTACCATGAGGAAACAAGATAAATAACGCAACTAATGGACACTTACAAGTTTCTCAAATTCTTGAGACAAAAAGAGGAATTTGTAACTTGAACGGACATGATTATATCCATAACTAACTCGACGTCCATTTTTTTGAAGAAAATCTTCTATCAATCTTCTATTAGGACTATCTGTATACAGCAGCACATTCACATGAGATCGGCCTTCCTGCATATCGGTCCCATATCGAGAGACTACCTCATGTGAGTGTGCAGCCGTCCAAAAGGTTTTCTCCATCGACCCCATTACTTGAAAAGTTAAAGAGTTTTTAACCGCCTATGATGTTGAATCCAGAATTAGGCCACCTTATACTTCTTCAAGAATTGACATCCTTGAGGAGGATGCCTATGTCACTGGGCGTAGACGGTGAATGATGAATTTCTACATCACTGTACAGTTCATATGATTTTGGAAAATCCCATCAGATGTGCTCACTTCACCTATCAAATATTGCATTTCGGCTGCACCACCGATCATGTCAATTCCTCAAATAGTTGATTACAAATTTGAACAAATGATTAAGGGCATGGACGGAGCTAATGAAGGCTCACTGGGGGCAGATGCCCCCACTCAAGTAATTCGTTTGTTTAGTTACAAACTACAATTATATAATATACACGGGTTATCTTTGAAGAAAATATATGTATTTAATATCTAACATACATTCATTCTATTACTATACTTCATATCAAATACTATATGAGCAATAGTGCACTTTGCTTTGTCATTTAAACTGAAAAAACCCTCTCCCGTCTATCATGTACTTATATTTTTCTCATCACTTTGCCACTTTTCACTACTATATTGAAATTTTTGTAACATTGGAATTGTGATACATCATCATTTGAAACCATCATTAATATCATATTGCATATAACCATACTATAATAAGGTTTTCTTAGTTGTTTTCGGTTGCCCCCACTAGAAAAAAATTTTGGCTCTGTCCCTGATTAAGGGATATGCTATCCACACACTCCTTATTAATTTCGATCACTTGATCTTCTTCATTTTATCCAATCCGACTATGAAAAATTAGAAATGTACGAGAGAAGTAAAAAAGAATGTGTTGATAGCACACCTCATGATTAAATGAGTAACAAATTATATACATAGTCATGGTTTATTAATACAATAAGACTATTTCGATACACAAAACTAGAACTCTGCAAGTACTGAATTGTCATGGTGGTTATGATATTTCTCTTCAACACGTCTCATGTTCAAAACCCTCCTAGTGTAGATTAATTTTGAATATTGTCGTAATAAAAGACACCGACACTTTCAATACAAGTAAACCTCTCACACAATTTCAAAGTGTACCGGTTTTGGGTGTTGTACACTAGGTAATATGTTGTGGAATTTTAGTCTAAATTGATATTCCAACAACCTAATGTTAGGTTTATCTGTGATAAGACGACGTTGCCCCACGAGGGAACACACAAAAGGATGAAAAATCGTGTTAGCGTGGAGGGTTTGAAATGTCATCTCATCTCAGCTCTTTCGATTTGACTAGTTACCAAAATAGAGAGGCACAAAGTTAGGCAGGATGCACGAAGCCTGTTGGGACCTGCTTGAAAGAATTCATCATGAGAGAAATATTGTCCAAAAAGAAAGAACTTATCAGAAGCGTACTAGCTCTGTAAATGGTAAAGTTAACACTTCCAACCCAAATGCAGCACATCCAATAATTGTTTTCGAATTAGGGGAGAAATTATGTCACCAAGACAAAATTCTAAATTCTAATGGCACAGTTATTCAATGAGTGCATGTTAGCGGTTCATAATTTGAAGATCAAAAGTTAATATTGTGACAGGAGGTTCTTGAGAGTGTAATAATCCGTAATAAGTAAATACTAAAGAAAGGCTATGGAGTGGTGGTGCCACTAAGATCTTGTTTTTGTTACAATATAGATTTTCCTTGTTAGCTCATTTTGAATGCAAAAATCTAAATTTTAAGCTCGTATTTTTGTATTTGGGTCTAAAAGTGGAGAATGACTTACATGAACAAGTTCAATGTCAAGTGACGTCTTGATCTATTGAAACAATGATATGTGTAAAAAAATTTCTCCATTAATTTTTATTATTAAACCAAAATACTACAATAGCGTAAATCATTTTACGTAAGTTACGCTCTTCTAATAATTTCTTACAAGTTCTTTTTTTTGCTCAAATCGCAGTGACCCAAACATGATAACATTGGAGATCTCTTTGACCTAAACTCATTCATTTCACATAGCAACACATTTTCTTCCCTCTTTGCTTTAGGGCCCACAATTTGATTTCATTAATTAAAAGCAATCTCAAATCTAGATTCGGTACCTTGTAGGATGAAGCTTACATTTATTTTTGGATCGTCCAAAAAAGGCTTATATTTGGATCTGACTTTACCTTTTGTGCTCCAACCTCAAATAAATTGAGAACAATTTAGGTGGAACAAGATTATTGACATTTTAGGGTCTTAATTGGAGTGTTAAATCAAAGAAAGCAACTTACGTGAAACAAAATCATGGTAATTTTGGGATCTTAATTCAATGATATTTGTTATATACTCAATGCGTTATTGACCAGAATGCAACACAACAATGAACATATTCCATATAAGTCCTCCCAACCAAGGTGTCATAAAAAATGGAAAGAAAATAAAAACCCAACTTGCCAACTAGTTTCCATCCAAAGAGCATCAAACTTGGAAAGAAAGGATTTTGTCCATATTCTCTGACTCGAGATTCTCTGTGCAATGATTAAATTAATCATATACCAACTGTCCCAGGGGCATAAATAATAGCAAAAATGGGGCAGGTGGTTTGTGTTTAACCAACTTTCTGTTAATCCATACACATTTACATCACAATCAAATGAGCACAGGTTTCAAAAGCTAGTGTGCCAAATAGCTTCATCACCTTCTCCACATCGCTCGTGCACCTCCTCCATCCTCTCCACCGATTTGCACATGCCGCTGCAGCTCCAGTCGAACGACGCAGCACAAGGGTTTCCTGCTTGAGCTTTCCACTCACACTCTTTGAGAAAGACAAGAGAATTTCGAGTTATACACAGTTGAGATCGAGCTTAAGAACATCTAAATTGAACTAATTACAGTGTGATCTTTTGTGTGGCTTGCAAGAAAAGTGATTATTTTAGTGAGAAGCATGAACTGCAATGGCTTTTAACAATCAATAAGTTGATTTTTAATAACTAAATGCGTAGAAAAGCAAAACATTAATCTTGAGGTCATATGCATAAAGAAACTAACAGTGTAATGTCTTGAAGTGGAACTAAATTGAGTTGCCAAGAACTTACCAGGAGAGGTACCACAGCAAAGGCTTCGCTCGTCAATGTGTTCAACATCAAGACCAATAAACCAAGAACCCAAAGAGACATCCTCATTTGCATATTTGTGAAGTATGTGCCTATAGTGGAAAACAGAACTTTTCCAAGTTACATGGCAAGAACAAAATGCAGAATTTTTTTGTTGTGTGTGTGTGCACGTATAAGAGAAAAATGAAACTGCACAAAAGGACTTACCGATGGACTGAGATGTAAGTTGCTAAATCTTTGGAAATTGCGTATATTTGACCTGTTGCATGCCGAAAATACTTATTTCCCTCCTCTCCAAATTTCCAATATTCCGGTTCATGGTACTTGACCCCCCTATCAAAATAGGTACAGATGATGAATGACAAACATAAATTAAACAAGAGAGATGCACAACATTTGGCTGCTTACTTATTCGCTAGGACAGGTCCAGACTTCATACAACCGATATATGTACGAGGTTTTGATCTATGACGGGCCAAAGTAGAACCAACCATTCCTGTCAAATATTGAAATTAATTCAGTGCCGCAGATTCTGCATCAATTGTTTCCTCCCCATATTTCCACAGCAGATACAGCTGAATTAAAAATATACACACTAACCAAGATTTATGTGCACATCGTCATCAACCTTGATATAAAAGTCAGCATCCCACTTAGAGACAGCTGCGGTAAAATATGTTTGGGTTTTAGACGACAATTCGTGATATCCTTCTATGTGGTTCTGCAGATATACAATGGTGAACACTTCATAAGGTCCACCGAAGTGATTTGAAGTTTGAACCAATGGACAATCTAGATCTTAAAACAACTTAAAAAAGCCCACCAAAGGGTTTAAGAATTTTGTTCCTTTGATTGGTTCCCAAGACAATATATCTGCATAAAGCATTGCATGAGTCTCCAAACAACTAACTGGAGATAACAGGTAATTTGGTCCCAGGCACTAAATACTTACCAGCCGGAAAAAATCCTTATGTTTCTCATCTTCTACATCAATGGCACGATCCAAAAGGCCACCTGGAGTTGCACTGACGACAAAAAAGGAACCAGTAAGTTTTGTTAAAATTTTCATTCTGAAGAAAGCAGTTTATTAAGCTAGTCACTTGCAATATAGAGTAAGCCTACCTGTGTCCAATAACAAACCGCATTATAATTCCCTTTTCTACCTCTAACTTCTTTAACTCATCCCCTGGAAAAGTGATAAACTAATCAATTATGTGTGTGTGTATATACATATGCTTATTTCTTATAGCAGCAACTAATCTTTTATGTGAGAGAAATGGATTTCGAGTTTTTTGGATTTCAACCTTGGGGCATCCACGTTTCCCTGATTGACTCCCTTCGTTTTCGGCTGCTAAAGGCAGTCATGATTCCCATCACAAAGAAAAGCTTCTGGCGCTCTTTCAATGGTTCCTTTCCCGGTCTTATCACCACAGGAGATCCTTCATAATTGCCAGATTTAGAAGCTCTAGCTGTCGCTAGCTGGACCTCTAATGTGGAGATTGTCTTATCTAATGCCCTGGAAAGAAATGCAGCATAAATGTCAATAACATACCAACATCAATGTATATATTGAAATACAAAAAATGATCACTTTCAAGATTTCCTCAAATAATAGGACATGGGAAGTTACATGATCACATCATGTGTTTGTGAGACTTGAGAAAGGATGTCTCCCACGCCATCAGTGACCTCCTGCAGTAGCACGGATAAACTATTACTGATTTACTGTATAAATGGAGCTAACAAATATTTGGATCTTGTAACTTGCCTTCTTCTCACAATTAACTATGGGAGGCAGAACTCTTCTTGGTTGATCTTTCTCCAGTGGTGAAGCCTCCTCATCAATTTTGTCTGGATCGGGAACACCCCAAAAGCTGCAAGATAAACATCAGCAACTGACCGATGCAATTTTCTGTCAAGAAAAGAACAATATGAACCAGACAAATACAGTCCCATGTCACATGAGTGGGATAGATAAAAAATTCGTTTCCAAGCAATTTACAGTTCAACTCTCATACTTTACTTTATGGGAGTTGCGTTAAATCCTTAGCTTTCTAAGGTCATCCAATGATCCCTTGCTTCTCTTGTCACATTCATGTGATTTGGGTACCATAGTTGGGCTTCACCAGCCTAGTACATTAGATTTTGGTGGTGATTGATCAACACTCAAAACTTATATTTCTATGCAATATCAGAGACAAAGGAGATCTGGTTCCAATCGAATAGTAAATCTATTGGCAGAATTTGCCAAAGTAATATAAATTACCAATCACAGAGCAAAGCTAAGCAGATCAAGAGTATTATTGGGTGCATATTCGTCATTGTGGAGCCAAAAATAATCACAAGGCGACACGTGGATTCTTGGGTAAAAGAGAACAAAAATACCCTTGAGGCATACTGGGATTCCTACGCGCGAGCAGCAGGCAATCATCCCTAAACCAAGTCAAAAGTGCCCAAAATAGGTAACAATTTAAAGCCTATTTCATCAAATCCTTTCTATAAGGTAATTCCTAAAACCTAATTTATTCTATATATTTTGTATTCCATTATTTAGCTAATCAATTAGCTAAATGATATTTTCCTTTCATATTCCCTAAAAATTGATTAATTAAGGGATTAATTACCTAATCAATCCCTTAATTATCAAATAAAACACCCATTCACACCTAAAACTACTAAGAGGCCGGCCACCTCCCTTTTCCTAACCTTTTTCACTTTTCTCCATTTTATTACCCCATTTATACAAATAATCAATTTTGTAACTCTTAATTAAACCTAAATTAAACCCAAAAAACCCTAGCCACCTCCTATCCCTATAAATATACTCTCATTCTCACCAAAAAAGCCAATTCCAACACTTTGGCAAAAATCCCAAAATTCTCTAAACACTCTTTCTCTCTAAATTCTAACTTTGGCATCGGAGGTTCTTCGGCCAAAGCCCCCTCGTGGGCACGGGAGGCTCTTGGCCTTAACCTAAGGTGTTAATTGTTTTGTAGGTGCAAAATTGTCCAAGATCAAGGAGGAAGAAATTTGCATCCACAGTCATCAAGTTGTTCCCATCTGTCAGCTTCATGTTCCTTTTGCAATGCCAGCCTACTGATAGAAACCATTCTGACCAGAATTTGATTCTTCAAGGGAAAAGTTTCAGTACAATGTGACTGAGTACATAAACTTATCTAACACTAGGACAAAAATTGGCATCACCGTTTAGAATAACCGGCCTCTCACCGGCTCCGATGGCTAGAAATCTCTTCCAGCACCACTGAACTATATCAACTGGCTGCCTTTACTTTTTTTACCATCCAAAGGAGTTAACTTGAAACCATTTTCCTAATGCCTGGCCAACTTAAAATCGATCAGCAAGCTCCCCAAATTTGTACGAAACTCGAAAATTAGCTTTCCAACCAAATGAACACTCAAATATCATGGAGAACTCCTTATCCAATCGGAGTTTACCTTTCAGACTCCAACGCAAAACTTCACTGAATCTACTACTTTCCACACTAAAAGGCCTATAGATCACAACATATTCATTAAGCCAATTCACGTAACTTTAAATTACGACCAAGATTTAGCACCCACTAGTCCAATTGGCAACTCAAGTACAATTCAAAATTACTAAATAGGAATAGCAAACATCCTAAATTTCAAACAATGGTGCCAACAGAACTTGAATCCAGAAACCAGATCATCATTTGCAAAAAACAGCAAAAGGTTCGGAAAAGATGTCTCATTTGTAGCAAACAACGTTAAAAAATGCAAATTTACAAGCCCCATTAGACTGAGAAGCAAATCTAAAAGCTGAAAGAATCACCTCAACACAAGATCTTAGAGAGAGAGAGAGAGAGAGAACCTGTTGACAACAAGAACACCGAGGAAGAAGCTGGCAATGCAGAAGAGAGAAACCCATCTGGCGGAGAATCCATTGCCGACCTTGTGAGGTTTGCTGAGACCCATCTGCAAAAAAAGTCGTCAGCTTTAAGGAACCTCCCTTTTGCTTAAGCTTTTGTGGGGGTTTGGGGAGGAAGCTTCAGGAAGAAGATATGAGCAGTAGCAACCCCATTAGAGAAAGAGCAGTTTTTCTTACAGACAGACAGCACAGCAACACAATCATATCCTGAAACAGTGACATATATATTCGAAAAGGAAAAGGAAAAGGAAGGGAAATTGATGGAGTTAAAACACTTGAGGGGAGATGGGCTACCTAGTAATTATAATTTTCCATTTTCTCCATTTTTCTGTCACGGGAAAAATAATATTATTTAAAATGTTTTTAGAAAAAAATGACAAAAGCCATGGCAGCTTTAACCGTCAATAATGCCCCTTTATTCTTAATCTTTTCCAAGTAATGGAATGCATTCGCAGCGGCTATACTTTCTGCGCCTTTGCCCTTGTTTTTGTATGTTGAATATTTCCTGTTTAATTTAAGATATATGGTTATGTCTTTCATTTTTTTAATAGCACAAATACACATAGATGTGCAAGAAATATAGAAGAGTAGCGTGCAGAAATTATTTTGCTAATATAAAATCTTGAAACCTCATAATTTTATGTATTGTTTGTGCTGACTCTAGTATTGTTGATGTAGCAATTTGACATGTAATTTACCATATACCCCCAATTTTGAATACTAGTCTCTATGTAGAAAAATAAAAAAAAACTTATCTACACCAGTGATGTGAAACTTCTGCTTCTATATCCTTCTGTATATGATTTCATGTATGTCACTAATATATGATTATTATATGATGATTATTATACGATGATTATTATACGTACATGTTGGTAAAGTCTTTGTGCCAAGATTGTTTTACTCAGTCTTAATTTATCAAGAGATGAATATTGAACTAGGGACAAAAATCAAGTTTATGTAACCAAATTCAAAGTTGGAGTCTCGATGCACATAATGTCACATTCCGGCCCGGGTCCACCACATCTCGGGTCCGTTCTACCACCGTAGCACGATATTATCCATTTTGGACTTACCATTCCCTCACGGTTTTGTTTTTTTGAACTCACGAGCAACTTCCCAGTGGGTCACCCATCCTGGGAGTGCTCTGGCCTCCCTCTCGCTTAACTTCAGAGTTCCTACGGAATCCGAAGTCAGTGAGCTCCCAAAAAACCTCGTGCTAGGTAGAGATGGAAATATACATTTAAGGATCACTTCCCTAAACGATGTGAGATATTACACATAAGATACAGTGTTATACAAGCAACAATCACGATGTATTAAAACAACATATTTTACCAGCAAAATATAATGTCTATGTAAAACTTATAATTTTACTTCATTAACATCTCAGTCGATCTAAATACAGAAAGAAAACCTTTGATAAAAAAATACAGAAAGAAAACTTTACTTTGAAGAAGGTCAACATATAATACAGATAATCTCTTTGCAAATATAGATTTGAAAAATGGAAAAATGCTTTTATTGCAAATTAAAAAAAAACTTTATCGGTACCGCATAAACATGCTGCAAAATGATAAATCTAACTTTCTAGCCCTTTAGCTTTGGAGCAGACATAAACAATTTACGAAGCCAAAGAGGGCAGTCTGGACCGCATGCAAAAATAGAGCTGCGAACAAAGTTGGCCAAATGTAACTTAATTTGAGCAATGATCTTTTAACAAAAAATTCATGATTATTGATCTCTTAACTCATTAAAACGTGTGGGTATGATCTTTTTTGTCAACTCCGTTAAAACTTTTGTCAAAATGAGTCACGTACAACGCACATGAGGCTAAATCAAGAGGCAAATATAAAAAATCAAATGAAAAAAATTGTAGCAAATTGTACCTCAACTTTAACCATATTAGAGAAATAGTCCCTCAACTTTAACCAAATTGGAGTAATGGTCCCGCAACAATTTAACCTCATTGTAGCAATGATCCTTCCAACATGAGTCATTTTGACGAAATTCTGATGGAGTTGGTGAAAAATACCATAGCTGCATGTTTTGATAAGTTAAAGGACCAATTGTCATGAATTTTAGTTGAGGGACCATTGCTCCAATTGGATTGAAGTTAACGAACTATTGCTACAATTTTCTATATACTGTAAACTTGGCTACTCAAAAATGAGTTTGAACTCCTGCTCAAAACTCTTAGTCCATGAATCACAGAGCTTTTGAGTTTATGATCAGAACCGTTCATATTATGAATCACACTGTAAAGATCATCTCTGCAAAAAAAAAATGAATTAATAAAAGGTTGTTTAATCAATCTATTTTAGCAAATACATACACGGTTAGTAATAATTTTACCAATTTCGTTTATTTGTTTTAATACAATTCTTTGACTAAACGACCAAAGTTTTAATTGATTTTTTTGCGTATACGATTTTTATAAGATGATTTATAATATGAACAGTTATAATTATTGTAAACACAAAGTTCTATAATTTGATAACGAATAATTTTTGAGTAAGAACTTGAAAACGGTTAAGTTACGTTGGTGAATGGTTATAGCAAATGTGATCTAAAGTCAAGGCTCACATAGTCCATTTGATGCCAGGGTGTCGAATGGCAAACAGACAGACAGAACGACGTACGTGAATGCATGATGAAGTCATAGAAGTGAGTTACACTTTTTTTCTTTTCTTTTCTTTTTTTTTTTTTTTTTGAGAAGTGAGTTACACTTATGCATAAATTTTAAATTATCCAAAAATTAAAAAAAGAAAAGGATAAAAATATTAAATTTGTTTAGTTGTGGTAGAGCACCATTACGATACCATACTCCCACATCCTCCGACACTTTAAGAAATTTTTGTGTGGGTTGAAAATACTATCACGTATTGTTATAATTCTACATATATATAAGTGGAGAATTGAGTTGATATGTTTTAATTTTATGATTTATTAAAATTTAAAATGCATATTATAACTAATAACATGCCGGTGTTCTAGGTACTCTAAACCGTATTGCTACTATATAAACCCTAGACTCTCCTCTCCAACACCATTCCCTTCTTCACGGGTCCTGATTGCCATGACTCAAATTTTTGACTTGTCAGGTTGTCCCTACCCTGCTTTTTATTCCCATCAACTTTGTTTAATTTTACGTAGGAGTGAATTTAGCAGTTCATCAGATCCAGTGCTAGAATATATATATATATATATATATATATATATTTTTTTTTTTTTTTTTTTGTTCCGTCCTGTGTTGTTTTCCTGTTTTTAAATCCATAACTTGAGGCAAAAGTAAAGCTTGAATATGTGAGCTCAAAGTGCTTTAATTAATTGTGTTTTAAGCTTTGTTTTACATACTAATTCTCATGTCATGCATGCGCAGATGTTGCCGAAGAAAATAAATTAAAATTTTAAGCCTCTAAAAATTTGGTAGTGATGGGTTAATTTGATCAGTTCTGACTTTTGAGATTAGTTATTTAAGAATTGAAACTGGTGATGCACTGTTGATGGTGGCTACCAATCAAATTATTTTGTTAGGCAGTTCTGTTTATAGATTATATATTTATATGTCATACTTTCATTTTATATGCTAATGGAGTTGACAAAGCATAATAGAACTCGTAACTCAAGTGGTTAAGAATGTTTATCTCTTACACCCGACGCCCTGGGTCCTAATTGGTTACCGAAACAAACACATGAGTGCATCTCGGAGATGCTCACGCTACAAACTAGTTGCTGAGGGATACCTATTTGCTTATTATCATGCAACATACGAGACATCATAAACTTAGAAAAATTGGTGCAGTAATTGGTAATGTGCAGCTTCTTAATGATCATCGTCATCCTCCAACACAATGGACATCTAAACAAGATTTACCCAAACCCGAGCCCATTCATGGTGGGCTTTTACAAAACCTGCCCTACCTTAATTGCCCAAGCCCATATTCAACCCTAATAGGTATTTTGGCAAATCACTTTTTAAGAATTTGCCCTGCAAAACTTATGCAACTTTGGGATGAAGAAATACGACATCCCATAGATTTCCAGAAGATGTAAATGTAATAGCTACTCTAATGGGAGAGATTTTAATTTGGAATCTAATTTATTTTTTCCTCTTTGATTGGCAGGGTCCTTCTTCAAAAGATGTACAGTTACATTTTTATCTACATTTTTTGACAAAGATAAGTATTTTATATTCCGAATATTGGAGAGTTTTTCAGCCAACAAAAAATGTAAAATGTCCATTCTAATGCCTTTTGTATGGACATTTGGCATCTCCTATTGGATATAAAAGTGATTTCTATTATTTAATAAAACCACCTATATTAAAAAGTGTGTTAGTTTTGTCTGTTCCCAATAACATTACTATTATGTTTTTGATTGATTGATAAAATTCTCCCTCGTAAGTACGATTGAGGTTTAAAAAAAAAAAGTTCTTTCATCACTTGGTATTTCACAATTTTTTTTTTATACAACGATATATTTACACTAAGAAAATGAGAGAATAAATTGGTTTTGAACTCTTCATTCTCGAGATTAAATCTGAGACCTTTCACTTACAAGTGAACATGGGTGAAAAAAAATACCGAAAATTCCAAACCGAACCGAAAAAATCCCAAACTGAAAATCCTGAAAATTTTGGTACCCAATCCCAAACTGATCCTGAAATTTCAGTACGGGAATCGGTCTCACATTTTCATTCGTTCGATAATCCCGAACCAAACTGAAATAAAAAATATATATATTATTAATTTTAATATATATTTAGAATTGTAACCGCCGTCAGATTTGGTTGAGATTTAATCTCAACCATTGAATCTAAATAAAACCCTCACTCAGTCACTATTTCTCTTGACATCATCTCAAGTCATCTCCAACCAAATGCTGGCCAGATGGCTCGTTTTAGTCCTCTGGCCCTCCAATAAATTAATATTTTAATAAACAGTGCAGGGCCATATTTCTTAGGCCATCTCCAATCGAAGGGTCCAGATAGTCAAAAATAGCTCGAAAACCGTCTCCAACCAAGGGTTAGGCCAGAGGGCTCGTGGGCCCTACGGAATCTGAAAGGGCCAAAGGGCTGGCCCAATCCAGCCAGCCAGCCTTGGGTTGGGCCAGAGGGCTGAGCATTCCTGTCGGATATAACCGACAATATTATTAATTTTTCCTGTCGGTTATATCTGACAGGAATGCTAGGCCAAAATTCAAACACAACGGCTAGTTGACGTCAGCTAGTCGTTATTTTTTATTTTTT